TAGACAACCTCGAGGTGAGATGCTGCTAGACAACCTCGAGGTGAGATGCTGCTAGACAACCTCGAGGTGAGATGCTGCTAGACAACCTCGAGGTGAGATGCTGCTAGACAACCTCGAGGTGAGATGCTGCTAGACAACCTCGAGGTGAGATGCTGCTAGACAACCTCGAGGTGAGATGCTGCTAGACAACCTCGAGGTGAGATGCTGCTAGACAACCTCGAGGTGAGATGCTGCTAGACAACCTCGAGGTGAGATGCTGCTAGACAACCTCGAGGTGAGATGCTGCTAGACAACCTCGAGGTGAGATGCTGCTAGACAACCTCGAGGTGAGATGCTGCTAGACAACCTCGAGGTGAGATGCTGCGTCCACGCGAGCTCACATGTAGAGTTGAGCTGCGCATGTAGAGTTGAGCTGCACATGTAGAGTTGAGCTGCGCATGTAGAGTTGAGCTGCGCATGTAGAGTTGAGCTGCGCATCTGGATTTGCCACACCTGCACACCTGCACCGCCTTCCCTTGCATTCCCTTCTGGCCCGTCTCCCATCTTCCCTTGGCCCTCATCTACGTGTCGTTCTCACTGCACCCACCTTGTCACCGCCGCTGCTCTTCTGCGCTGCAGCGACTGCCTGCTGGCGCCTGCTCCATCAGCAGCACCCATGCTGGGGTGCACAGGAAGCACCACGCGGCAGGGCAACGCAACGAGACACCCATGGCCACGGCCACGGCCGCTGCAAGTGGCAAGACAGGGGGAGGAGAGGGTGGAGAGGGCGTGTGGAGGAGGCAGGTGCAGGTGGCGATGGTGAGGGCAGTGGCGGGGCGGTTGACGAGAGTGTTGGTAGCAGCGGAGGGGGGCTGACAGAGGAGCAGCGGGAGCGCGTGGATGTGAACGAGATGATATTCGCTTTCCTGGGCACCGTGCTGGAACACTGCATGGCCTTCAAAGACGGCTGGAAGGTGAGCCGCGCGTGCAGTGTGTGAAGAGACTGCTGCCCACCTGCTGCCCAGCTGCTGCCCACCTGCAGTATGTGAAGAGACTGCTGCCCACCTGCTGCCCAGCTGCAGTATGTAAAGAGAGTGCTGCCCAGCTGCCCAGCTGCTGCCTCCCCTGGCACCTGCACGTCACTCTGAATGCCATTCTGCTCGCCCTTACCTTCTCGAATGGTCCTTCGTATTAATCAACCAGGCAGAAAACAGGAGTTCTAGGCTAAGCTAGTCTAAACAGATAAACAAACCACAAACAACAGCAGACAACAACGAACAGGTAAGTACCACAACTCATCCAACTCCCTCCCCTCCTTCCCACGGCCCTACTGGTCTGTGGGGTCTTCCAGCAGCTGGTACAGCTGCTCCTCGCCCAAGCTGCCAAACGGGCCCTGCAGGCCGAGCTCATCCGCGGCGAAGGCCTCATGGGTCTTGTCGCGGAGGGCGTTGGCCTGGGCGCGCTGGAGTGTCACACTCCAGCGCTGCCGGTACTCTGTGAGGAGCTTGGCCACCTCCCTCGACTTTGGCGCAGCGTTGAACTGCCGTTTGCCCGCGAGCTCGGCGCAGCTGCGGAGGAAGTAGTGCACTCCAGGGGAGGGGTAACCGTACGTTTCGACCGCCATGGCGTGGAAGCCTACCCACTCGTTGCGCCGCGCGTACTTGTCCTCTTTCTTGGCGGCTTGCATCCTTGCAGCCCACCCAGGTGCCTTTCGCGCAAACTCGTCCTGGTAAGAGACCGGGTCCGTCACGGTGATGTCCCACATGTGGACCTCGCTGGTGTCGGGATGGCGGATGCAAATATCCGCATAAAGGTTTTCGACCGGTGAGTACACTGTAGATTCCTTGTGTACCGTGTAGCCTGCCTCGGCTGCGATCTTCTCACACTCATCGCAAAGGGCATGGTGAGTGGCAATCCTACCTCCGCCTTTCTCACAACGCATGAGGTGGTTGGGAAGGCGGTGGTCAGGGAAGGTCGTGCGGTAGCGGCAGTTACAGCGCCGTGGGACGGGAAGGGGGAGGCCTAGGCGGAAGGAGGCTGCAGTGGAGTGCTGCGAGGGGCCTAGACGAAGAGCCGGGATCAGGGGGATGGCCAGCAGCCAATCTCCTGCCCCGGGGCCGAGGAGCGACTGCAGGCGTTGCGTGTGGCCAAAGAGCGGGTTCAGGGGCATTTCCCGCGAGGCATCGAGCAACTCGATGTAACGGGCGGGCGGTGTGGACGGCCAGCGACAGAGCCTGCTGCAGCTTCGGACCATCACTGTTGCGCCGGCCGACCTGCAGCGCTTCTAGTCCATCCGGTGGCAACGTGGCCTCTGCCGCTGCAAGGCGTCGTGGTAGGGCCGAAGGTGAGTTCGCGTCTGCGTCCATCAACGGCAGCATATGGGCAATGGCGGGGTGCACCCTGTCGCCGAACGAGAGGAGCAGATGGGCTGTGGAAATGACCGAGGCCAGGTACGCAAACGCCCCTTCCGTCGCTGGGTTGGTGATGCTTAGGCCACTCAATGTCACGGGCAGCGCTGCTTGCCGCCAGATTCTCCCCCGCTCCGCCTCTTCCCTTGGTATAGCCGTGTGTGCAGCAGTCAGGTAAGAGTGCAGCAGCTGTTCCCCCCACACCGACCATGTGTCTTTTGGAAGCACGTTCAGGGGCGTTGTCCTAACGAGGTAGGAGGCACGGCGGCTAACGCACCATGTGAGGAGCAGCAGGCATAGCTGCGGGTCCATTTGTGAGAGGAGCGGTAGGGGCTCTGCTGCCGCCGCCAGACGCTCCTGAACCATCGCCGCGCATCCTGACTGAGGTCCGATTGGGCTCCCCAGGACGCGGATTCCGTCGGCCGCGAGAGGGACGTGCTGGGGCAGAGAGGCGGGATCGACGTGCGCAGCCGACCACGCTGCGCACTTTTCGGGGTTGTGCTCCAGGCCCAGGGAGAGCAGGGCACTGGTGAGGTGAGTGAACGCCTCCGTGCACGCCGCTGGATCCCCCAGGAGCGTAATGTCGTCTGCGTATGCGAGGATGACGTCTCCTGGGTGTGCCTCCGCCGCTGCTACCAAGCAGGGGTGAATGCTGGCGGCGAAGAGGAGGGGTCCCAGCGGATCCCCTTGGCGGACGCTCCGCGCCGACTGCAGGGGGGGAGCGTGAAACGCATCGTCGAGGTGTAGTGTCGAGGGGACACCGTAGGTCAGCCGCACCAGGGGCAGCAAGAAATCTAGGGAGGTCCCCTTGAGGCCGTCAAACACCGCTGCTCGCTCGACCGCGTTGAAGGCATTCGCCAGGTCTATTTGCAGCGCCACCGCCCCTTCATTCTCCTTCAAGTAGGTGCGCGCGGTGTGCACTGCCGCCTCGATGCCTCCCGCTACCGCCACACCGAATTGCAGCGGCGCGAAATGTTCCCGAGCTTTCTCGGCCGCCAAGAATAAAGCCGCTTTGGCAACTAACCGGAGCAGGCATTCGCCCACTGCTATTGGCCGTGTGCCTCCATGTGGCTTCGTGAATGCAAGTAAGCGTGATGCTGTGAGGAGTTCCGCCGCTTCCGCGCTGAGTTTCCCAGCCAGCGCGGTGTTCGTGAGAGCATGCAGCTGGAGGAAGATGTCTGTGTTTCCTAAGGCAGCGTCCCTCAGGTGTTCAAAGGTGGTGCCTGAGGGGCCAGCGCCTACTCCGTTCGGGCATTTGGCGAGGATGCGTCTGAAGTCGCGTGGAGGGATTGATGGGGTGTTGTCTGTGGTGAAATCCCGCACCCAGTTAGGGATTGCTTGGCGCGCGGGAGGGTGTGTAGCTGAGAGAGCCTGGAGCACGTCCGTGGAAGGGGGGGAGACCGGTGTGGCAGTGAGGGATTGGAGTGATTTTGCTAGGTTCCCCCGTTTGGCTAGTCCCTCAGCCCTTGCCAGGATGCCGGTGGTGTCTGGCGCATGGCGGGGCTGGGGCGGTTGGGAGATTGCGTCAGCCGCCTCGTCATACAGGCTCCGCCAAAGGCCTTGGCGAAACTGGGTTAGCCTGGCGCCAACCTTCGGCCAATCTGGGCGCTTGGCTGACGAGGTGCGCAGAAGGATGCGCGGGAGGAACATCAGCAGTTGCCAGCCCGCAGGTGAGTCGGGGTCTTTCGCTAGGTGTAGCAGCGGGATGAGGAGACAAGCTGCGAAGGAGTCGCGAAGGGTGCGGGGTGGGTGGCGGGCGAGTGTTGGTTGCCTGCTGTCGCGTAGGGGCTCGAGGTCCCAAGTTGCGACGTCGGCGAAAAGGTCCTGGCGTGTTGCCAGGTCGTCTGCACTGAACAGTGGCAGGCGGGTGGGTGCGTCTGCACCCTGCTGATTGGCCCGAGTTGGAGTGCCATTTGCAATTTGTGCGGCTCGAAGACCCCCCCCGGCTCGACTCTGTCTCCCATTTCGGATTGCAGACGCGACTCGGCTTGGTGTTGGATTTTGCTCCACACCGCGAGCCTGTTCTGCCTCTTCCACCTCGGGGGATGGACTCGAACTCCCCTCTCTTTCAGGGTTAAATAGAGGGTCACCCACAGAGTTCTCGTCACTCGACTCTTCCCCCTCCGTAGCCCTCTCCCGCAAGATCCTATGAGCAGCCCTCGCGAAGCTACTAGCACCTTGTCGTTGAACCGTGGCGCCTCCTCTACGTCCCCCTCGTCTCCCTTCTCTCCCTACACGGATTCCTCGCCGCGCGGAACCCGTCGCTGCGTCGTTGCGCAGCGTTTGCGGCGCCGAGGTAGATCCAAGGCCCCTCCTTCGACGGCCCGCTGGCGTCCGCGGCTCTGCGTTCGGGCGGAATGGACCCCTCCGCGGGTCGCGACCGCGCGCAGGAGAGTACGGCGGATAGCGCGCGGATTGGCGGGCCCTGGGCGCAGGAGCCTGCTGCACCTCGTCCCCATGTGTCCGCGCGGCCATCCGCGTCTGAGCCCGTGCGGCGCTTGGAGCGCGGGCTGTCTCTTCCTCATCGTCTGGGGGGTGCGCGACCGACCTCCCCTGAGTATTCGTGGGCGCCGGCCCGCGTTGCGTCGAATCGTCCAGCTGGCCCGCCGCCTCATGAGCGTAGCCGATCGCCGCAGCGCCAGCCCTCGCAGCAGCATTCTCCTCGGCGTCGCTCCCCGGATAAACGCGAGCCTCACCGCCCCGGAGCTGGCGATCATTTGTCTCCTGCGAGCCCCCGCTCTCCTCGCCACCGATCCCCCCAAGGTCGGGCAGCCCAACGCTCATCGCGAGCACGATCCCCCGCGCAGCGCTCTCCGCGTCGATCTCCGGCGAGGCGGGGGAGGGGGTCTCCTGGGCGTCGGTGGGATGCTGGGCGTCGCGAGCAATCCCCTCCGCGACCGCATTCGGCTGGCTCTGGAGGCCGACGGGGTCGGCGGAATGGAGCGGGTCGCGGCGGGATCGGTCGTGGGCAGGATGCTGCGGTTGATCAGGCCATGAACGCATTTGCAGCGGCGGTGCGCTAGGCGCGGGCGAGTGGGGAGCCGGCGCACGTTCATATCGCGGTAACCAACGGGCCTCCTCACACCACAGCCCCTGAGCTCGTGGCTCCTTTGCGCGCGCCGACATTGAGCGAGTATCTGCCCGCGCGTGAGGCAAGGGCGATGTTCCGCACCCCTCGGTAGGTCCCTGGCTACTCCGCGCACCACTACTCGGTTGGCCGCACCCCGAGCCTGGCGACGGCGTTTCCGCGCGAAGCTCCGATTGTACCTCCCCCCACTCGCGCGGGGAGAGACCCCATGCTGACCATGTGCCGGATGCTGAGTCTAGCGGAGGCGTGCGAGGTGGTGGCGAGCCTGCAGATGGCGGCGTGTGGGGCCATGCGAAGCTCTCCGGGCAGTTTCGCTCCAGGTCCCCGAGGATCGTGCGCGTCTTGGGCAGAAGCGCTCGCCCCGATCTTGGCGCCCGTGCCAGAAGCGCCCGCCGGGGTAGCACCCTTAGCGCATACCTTCCCCGCCATGTGGAGGATCTTGTAGGGGCTGCTCGTGTTGGGACGCCGGCGGAGACTCTCCACTCGTCGGCGCAGCTCCTCCTCGCGGTGTCGGCGTGCATGCGCTCGATGCTTGAGGTGGAAGGGGCGGAGCCGTACACGGTGTAGGCCTCCGCCTTGTGTAGAACTGCATGCCTTCTCTTCTTGATGGTGTCCAGCTCCCTTGCTTCAGTTGCCACCAGGAGCGCGCGGCCGAAGGCCGCCGGCGCGAGCCGCCGAATTCGAACTCGCCACGGAATAATGAAGAGAAACAAGCACAAAGAGCCAATAAATAGCCCGGGAGGGCAGAGGGCAGAGGGATGAGGCAGAGGGCAGAGGGCTAAGGGATCCTCTCTCTCTCTCTCGCTCTCGCCGAATTCGAACTCGCCACGGAATAATGAAGTGAAACAAGCACAAAGAGCCAATAAATAGCCCGGGAGGGCAGAGGGCAGAGGGATGAGGCAGAGGGCAGAGGGCTAAGGGATCCTCTCTCTCTCTCTCTCGCTCTCACCTTACCTTCTCACTCTCTCCCTCACACTCCCCCTCGTCCTCATCGCAACAGACCCATATTCTAACCTCTCTGCCTGCATTCTCGTTTTTCCATCATGCCATCATGCCATCATGCCATCATGCCATCATGCCATCATGCCATCATGCCATCATGCCATCATGCCATCATGCCATCATGCCATCATGCCATCATGCCATCATGCCATCATGCCATCATGGCATCATGGCATGTGCAGGAGCTAGAGGCCACATTCCATTGTCTTGAGTGGATGGCTCTCATTGGTGGATCCAGCATCGGCCCCGAGCGAGTCAAGTGAGTCAAATCAGCAAGTCAAGTGAGTCAAATCAGCGAGTCAAGTGAGTCAAATCAGTGAGTCAAGTGAGTCAAATCAGCGAGTCAATCCACTGCTCTTCACCTACTCAACTCCTTAGCCCTGCGCATCAAGTGGTTCACCTGCTCAACTGCACTGCTTCAGTTTTTCGCCAGGCGCGAGGCCATTGCTGAGGCGCCTCAAGATATAATGCTTCCCGTATCAATTTTCCCCCACTCTGCCGGCGGGTGCATGTGTGTGTGTGTGTGTGTGTGTGTGTGTGTGTGTGTGTGTGTGTGTGTGTGTGTGTGTGTGTGTGTGTGTGTGCGTGCGTGCGTGCGTGCGTGTGTGTGTGGCATCTCAGGCGAGAGGAGGGAATGGCAACGGTGAAGCGGCGGCTGCTGCATGGCGTCATGGACTTCACTGCCGCGCAGCTGCGCGTGCAGGTCAGATGTCACTCTGTTCTTCCCCATCTCTTCTTCCTTTCCCAGCGCTGTCATCCCTCCTTCTCTTCTCCTTCTCACCTAGCCCCTGCCCCATCGTCCGCCCCTTGTCCCGCCCACCCACACGCCACCGCCAAGCAGGCTCAAGTGGAGGCCACAGCAGCAGCGGCAGCAGCGGCAGCAGCAGAGGCAGCAGCCCTAGCATCCCCCCTCCCCATGGACATCCCCATCTCGCCCACGCCCACCTCCCCACACCCGCGCGCCCCCGACCCGCTGCTCACGTCCCCCACGTCGGCGTGGCTGCTGGAGAACGCGGTGGCGCTGCTCATGCTGCTCGAGGACTTCCTGCGCTTCCACGCTGCTGCGCGCTCGCCCCTCGCCCTGCCCACCGTCGCCTTCGATGCAGATGACACCCTCCCTGGCTCCCGCCCTGCCGCCTGGCAGGAAGTCCCTGACCCTGACTCCCCCACAGGAGCCTCCGCTGCTGCTGCTGCTGCTGCTGCAGCGGGAGGTGGGTCTGTGCTGCCAGGCACGACGGCCACAGCAGCAGCGGCGGCAGCAGCGGGCTTGATGCCGCTGGCGGCTCAGCTGTCCAACCCGTTGCTCTCCGCAGGGTCTTCCTCGCGCCGCCGCAGCCCCACGGATCTGCTCACTCTCGAGATGCTCGCGCTCATGGCGGATAACGCGGGGCAGCTGACGGCCCCCATGCTGGAGCGCATCACCGCTTCCACCAGTGCAGAGCCCTTTGAGGGCGTGCGCTGCGCCCTGCCGACTTACGGGTCTATTTCCCAGGAGTTACCCCTCAGTTGGGGGCACCGCAGCAAGCTGTGGTATGGCGTGGCGGTGCCGCCCGAGGGGAAGGGGGCACCGGGGTGGGGCGGCGGGCGGGCGGCATGGGCGGCAGCAGTGGAGATTGACCCGGTGACGGGGCGGTGGCAGGATCTGCCTCTTGTGGTGAAGGCTGTTGCCATGCTGCGATCCATGCTGCTGGACGAAGGGGACGTGGGGCAGGGGCAGGGGGGCGAGAAGCAGGGGGGGAAGGGAGGTGCAGGGGCGGCGGAAGGGGTGTTGGCAGTGGTGGGGGGGATAGCGAACATGCTGGGAGGGGGGAGTGCGGGGGGCGTGTTGAACCGGGCGAGTCAGTTACTCCTGGAGGACGATCAGACGCTGCTCACTGTCATCCGCCTGGTGGGCGTGGCTGCTAGGGAGCTCAGTGACATGGTGGACCCGGGGGGGGACGGGGCAGCAGTACATGGAAAGGAGGGGGGAGTGGATGGGGCGGACGGGGGAGTGGTGGCGTGGGAGCGAGGTGAAATGGAGGGCATCTCGCCTGGCGTTCTCAGCTCCTTGCTCTGGCGGTACGTGCAGTGCACGCCAGCCATGACATGCGCATGCTCATCTGTTCACCGTTGTTATGTCCACTGCAATCCCACCTCACCATGCTGTCTCCCACCTCACCATGCTGTCTCCCACCTCACCATGCTGTCTCCCACCTCACCATGCTGTCTCCCACCTAGATATGAGCACGAACCGAACTCAAACATGTTTGCGCAAACCTTTTCGAACCTTGCATGTTGGTCGAACCGAACCAAACAGGTTTGCTCGAACTTTTTTCAGACTTTTAAGGTTTGAGGTTTGAGTATACAATGGCGAACCCTAAAGGTTTGCTCAAACCTTCTAAGGTTTGAGCAAACTCGAACCTTTTCAGGTTTGAGGTTTAAAATGATGCACATGTTATTCTACAACACATGCATGTCTAATGGTTTATGGACAGCATCACTAAACTGTCAAACCTAACAAACAAGTTAAGGTTTGACACATCCTAAGTTGGAGCTGAGGTGAAAGAACGGTAGTGGGGAGGGAGGCATTGGGTGAGCTAGAGTTGATCTAGATCTCGATCTACTCTTCTCTGCTACGAGATTAGGGTTGGCTGCCTTCAACTGGCAGCCAATGTACGACTTTCCCGTTTTTGACGGGAAAGTCGCGAGCGTATTCTTTCTGAAGTTAATTTAATTCGAACCCCTCGCTGTTCAAATTTGACCCTTTCGAACCTCGAACCTGTTCGGTTCGAGGTTCGAATCTCGAACCGGAAAAGTTCGCGTGAACTGTTCGCGCAAACTTTTTCGAGGTTTGCTCAAACCTTTTTTGCGGGAAAAAAAGTTCGGTTCGAGATAACTCGAACCGAACATCTCGAACCGAACCTAAGTTCGGTTCGATGCTCATATCTACTCCCACCTCACCATGCTGTCTCCCACCTCACCATGCTGTCTTCCACCTCACCATGCTGTCTCTCCCACCTCACCATGCTGTCTCCCGTCCCTCCCACCAATGTGCACTCTCACACTTCCCTCCTCTGCTCTTCTCGCCCCCTGCCTCCGCCCTGCAGTGCTTTGCTGCCGCTGCTCACAACAGCGTCACTTGACGCGCGCAAGCAGTGCGCCCTCGCAGCATCTGCCGTCCTGCACACAGAGGTCAGTCGCACACAGAGGTCAGTCGCACACAGAGGTCAGTCGCACACAGAGGTCAACCACACGTTCTGAACCCGTCCCTAATCTCATGCTGCTTGCCCTCCTGGCACCCCACTTGCCCTCCTGGCACCCCACTTGCCCTCCTGGCACCCCACTTGCCCTCCTGGCACCCCACTTGCCCTCCTGGCACCCCACTTGCCCTCCTGGCACCCCACTTGCCCTCCTGGCACCCCACTTGCCCTCCTGGCACCCCACTTGCCCTCCTGGCACCCCACTTGCCCTCCTGGCACCCCACTTGCCCTCCTGGCACCCCACTTGCCCTCCTGGCACCCCACTTGCCCTCCTGGCACCCCACTTGCCCTCCTGGCACCCCACTTGCCCTCCTGGCACCCCACTTGCCCTCCTGGCACCCCACTTGCCCTCCTGGCACCCCACTTGCCCTCCTGGCACCCCACTTGCCCTCCTGGCACCCCACTTGCCCTCCTGGCACCCCACTTGCCCTCCTGGCACCCCACTTGTCTCTACTCTTGCTGCAACCGTCCCACTGCCTGCGCATCCCAACCCGACGCACCTGCAAACCCCCAGACCCCCCTTCTCTCGTCTCTCTCCGCTCTCCCCCTCCCATCCACCCGCCGTGCGCCCATCAGGCCATCCACGCCATAGCGCCATCGCGCGCCATCCTGCGCCCATCGCTCATCGCAGTGGTGCAGCCGCCCCTGGCAGCGCTGCTGCGCAAGTGGCGCTCCGCCTTCGCCTTCATCCCCCACCTCACTGACTTTGAGGGCCACAACCCCTTCCTCAGGGACGATGACCGTGCGCTTGCCACCGACGCCACGGCCGATGAGGTGGGTGGTAATTCTCACCTTCTCAGGCTCTTGACGTTTCTGGTAAGTTATGAAGGTTTAGGGTTCTTGCAACCGACGCCGCAGCAGACGAGGTGAGTGCCTCGCACCTTCGCTCCAGCTGAGCACTGCCAGCTGAGCACTGCCAGCTGAGCACTGCCAGCTGAGCACTGCCAGCTGAGCACTGCCAGCTGAGCACTGCCAGCTGAGCAGCACTGCCAGCTGAGCACTGCCAGCTGAGCACTGCCAGCTGAGCACTGCCAGCTGAGCACTGCCAGCTGAGCACTGCCAGCTGAGCACTGCCAGCTGAGCACTGCAATAGTTGAAACAAGCTCTTTCCTGCTTTCTCAACCTTTGCTTATGCCCTTTCCCATCCAAGTCCCAACACAATTCTCTCCCTTGCACCTCCTCCACCCCCCAGGCATCACTGGCGCTGCTGCAAGTTATCTGGGTGGCAGCCCTGGCGTCCCCCCCTGCCTCCACGGCCCTCGCAGCCATGGCTGCTGCTGCTGGCCCCGGATCTGCTGCCCCCCGCACCACCCTCACCTCCTCCTCCTCCGCCTCCTCCCTCTCCACCCTCTCCTCTGCTCCTGTCACGCGCACGTCTACCTACCCCAGCGCCACCCCACCCACAGGCAGCACCATCCTTGCTGCCTCTGCTAGTCACGCGCCTGGGACTGGCAGTGCCACTTCTGCTGCTGTCTCCCGCACTAGCAGCCATCACGTGCCGCCTGGCCAGCCTGGCTCCAGCTCAGCAGTCAACCGGCGCATGTCTCAACGCAGCGGCGTGACTAAAGCGGGGGGAGGGAGGCAGGAGGGGGAGCGGGAGGGGGCAACATCGTCACAGAGGCGCATGAACGGCGACAAGGACCGCGCGCAGCGGTGGAGCCTGGGGGAGGCCATGGAGAAAGCATGGGACTGCAGTCTTGGCATCCCTGTCTCTGTTGCCACCCACACCACTGCTGCTGCTGCTGGTGCTGGTGGTGCTGGGGGGGTGGAAGGGAGGGAGGGAGGGGCAGCAGCGGCGTGGTCAGAGGATACGGGGAACGGCACGGCGCTGGGTCCCACGCTGGGCGGGTTGCAGCAGCACCTCGATGGCCTGCGCTCCCTCATTCGCGCTCAGGTGCTCGTCTCGCCTCTACCCTCATACAAGTGAAGTGGTGCAGTCAAGACTTTCTCACCCGCATCTCAAAGTTTGTTTGCCCAAGGACAAGGGGAGAGGGAAGGCTCATGTGGAGACATGATGAATGTGTGTGCTGTATTCGCCATTTCCTCCCTGCACCTCCTCCCTTCACCTCTCCCTTGTGCACTGGTCACACAGGGTGACATGGAAGACGCAAGCACACACGGGAGCACCTGCACAGCACACACGCCTTGGTCTCTTCCCTTGTCCCATCTCCCCCCCCCCATGCGTGCAGAGGCTGCGGAGGGTGAAGATAGAGACGCAGATGGCGCGCGCGCACACAGCTGGCATGCGCATGTGGCGCTCCCTCATTCGCCAGCTGCTCGAGTCAGGGCTGCTCGTGGGCCTCCCTGGAAGTTTCCACGAGTTGAAGCAGCGCCGGGTGAGAAAGGGGAGACGGGTGGGGCAGTGGCAAACACGCACGACAGTGGGGCAGTGGCAAACACGCACCACAGTGGGGCAGTGGCCAACATGTAGCACAGTGGCGTGGCGTGGACGCCACGTGCTTCAAAACGCACGTCCTTGAAGAAACTACATGCTTTTGGAAGCCTCCAGCCTCCAGCCTCCAGGGGCATGAGCAGATGGTGCGGGCTGCTATGAACCTCCTCTTCCCATCAAATCTCTGCGCCTGCATCCCTCTAACCATGTGCCCCGCCTCGCCCCCTTCGCTTCGCCTCTCTCCTCCCTCTCTCTCCCTCTCCTTTGAACCCCAACACATGACTTGTGTGTGGAACATGCGTTGCCCCCATCCCATCCCATCCATCCGCGCAGGTGTTTTGGAAGCTGGACCGAGTGGAGAGCAGCTCGCGCATGCGGCGCCGCATGGTGCGCAACTACCGCGGCTCCGACTGCCACGGCCTCGCTGCTGACTTCCGGCCCCCCTCTGACCACCCCCCGCCCGCTGCCAAGCGTGCCCGCTCCCAGGGGGACGCGGATGGGGTGGATAGGGTAGACAAGGGGGCGGTGGCAGGGGCGGTGGGCTTGCAGGAAGGGGGGGATGTGGGGGATGAGGGGAAGAAACGAGAGGATGGGGAGGGAGAGGGGGTTGCAGTGGGAGGGGGAGCGGGTAGTGAGGGTGTGCGTGTGGATGGGGAGGGGAAGGATGAGGCGAAGGAAGGGGTGGCGGAGGGGAGTGGCGCAGGGGATGTGGAGGGGGTGGGAGGGGCCATAGCGGGAGGGGCCATAGTGGAAGATGCATCGGGGCTGCTGGGGGGCTGCCTGCCCGCCCCTGTGAAAGACTTCGATGCTCCTGTGCCGATGAGCGCGGATGACGAGGGGCACGACGGGGAGGTGGAGGGGGACAGAGGGGAGGGGGAGGGTGGAGAAGGTGAGGAGAGGGAGGGGGCACGAGGTGCAGCAGCGGGGGGTGGTGACGGCGTGAGAGCAGCAGAGGGAGGTGAAGTTGGGGGTGGTGCTTTGGACCATGGGGTGTTGTTGGAAGGTGGTGTCATGCACACGCCACGTGCTCATGATTCTCTGGCGGCCAACGATGCTGAGTCAGGACTAACGGAATCTGCTGCTGAGTCAGACGCAAAGGGCGGTGACCCATCAGAAGCAAGAGTGTCGCCAGTGGAGGAGGGGGCGAGTGCAGCAGGGGAGGAGGGTGGGGATGGAGGAGGCAGCAAGCAGGCAGAGGGAGGCGAGGTGGCTTCTGAACCAACAAGCCACGCAGCTTCAGCCTCCTCGTGTGAGCCTCCCTCTACCACCACCACCACCACCGCCAGCAGCACTAGTGCGAGCAGTGGCACTGCTGGTTCCTCCACTGCTGCTCCTCCTTCTACTGCCACCACCGCCTCCTCTACTGCCACGGCAGCAGCAGCAGCACCCCAGGAAGCCCTGGCAGCATCGGCAGTGGCAGCAGTGGCAGCGGCAGCAGGCGAGCAGCCGGGGCTGTCAGCAGTAGTGGGCAGCAGCGAGGTGGCGGCGGAGGTGGCGGTGGGGGAGAGGGAGCGAGTGGTTGTGGAGGTGCCCGCCATGATGGTGCTGCCCCTTCAGGTCGTCAACGGCCGCCTGCTCGTCACTGCCTCTCGCTTGCTCTTCCTTGTCGACCCCTCCGTGCATTTCAAGGAGAGCGCGGCGGGCGACCAGGGGAGGGAAGGGGGTGGAGGGGGAAGGGGAGAGGGCGAGGAGGGTGTGGGGGGGAAGAAGGCGCGGGATAGAGTGTGGCGGCTGACATCCGTGAGGGAGGTGCTCAGCAGGCGGTGAGTGAATGCCAGCAGGCGGTGAGGTGAATGCCAGCAGGCGGTGAGTGAATGCCGGGACTTGAGCATCCCACTGTTCCCTCTGTTCCGTACTAATCTGTGCGTGCGTGCGTGCGTGCGTGCGTGCGTGCGTGCGTGCGTGTGTTTCTCTGCTTCTGCTTTCCGTGTTGACCATTCGACTCCAGTAATTCGTTCAGGTATGCGTCTCATTTTTGCTTGTCATGCCTTGCTGCTTCCGCCCTCGTCCATCCCATGTCCCCTCACATCACGCCCGTCATCACATCAGCTACCTGCTGCGGCGCTCGGCCCTGGAGGTGTTCATGATCGACCGCTCCAACTTCTTCTTCAACTTCGAGGTGCGGTGCGGTGTGGTGCGGTCTCAAAAATACAGGATAAAAGTGTAATTTTAAGACGTCTCAAAATTTCATGATCAACCGCTCCGGCTTCTTCTTTAACTTCGAGGTGTCGTGCGGGGAAGGGGAACGAGGGGGGGGCAGGGCACATACGGGACATGGCTTCACCAAGGATGTTCACACAAGCTGGGCGTTTGAGAAGAGGAGAGCACAACCACATCATGTCATGTCATGTCATGTCATGTCATGTCATGTCATGTCATGGTAGTAGCACATCTCCCTCCCACAAATCCTCTTCCATATGCCGGCTGGACCAATCCTCTACTTACGCAGGGGTGAAGAAGACCTCTGGCCTCATGCGTGTGCCTGCCTCTTCTGCCACCCCCCTTCACATGACATGACAGGGCCCGGAGGAGCGGCTACTAGTGCACCGAGCCATCGAGCATGCCAACCCACCACACCTGCAGCACCACTTCTCCCCCACACTGGTGCGCCCTCCTCTCCTCCTCACACCCACCTGCACCTGTCCACTCCACACCCTTTGTACGTCATAATCTCGCCACACATCGTACCCTTAACACTCTTACTGCCCGCCATGACATGCTAGGGACATGCTCTTGGCTGCCATGACATGCTAGCGACATGCTCTTGGCTGCCATGACATGCTAGCGACATGCTCTTGGCTGCCATGACATGCTAGCGACATGCTCTTGGCTGCCATGACATGCTAGCGACATGCTCTTGGCTGCCATGACATGCTAGCGACATGCTCTTGGCTGCCATGACATGCTAGGGACATGCTCTTGGCTGCCATGACATGCTAGCGACATGCTCTTGGCTGCCATGACATGCTAGCGACATGCTCTTGGCTGCCATGACATGCTAGCGACATGCTCTTGGCTGCCATGACATGCTAGCGACATGCTCTTGGCTGCCATGACATGCTAGCGACATGCTCTTGGCTGCCATGACATGCTAGCGACATGCTCTTGGCTGCCATGACATGCTAGCGACATGCTCTTGGCTGCCATGACATGCTAGCGACATGCTCTTGGCTGCCATGACATGCTAGCGACATGCTCTTGGCTGCCACGACATGCTAGGGACATGCTCTTGGCTGCCATGACATGCTAGCGACATGCTCTTGGCTGCCATGACATGCTAGCGACATGCTCTTGGCTGTGTATACTTGTGCAAGAATGACCGCTTTGTTCCCATGTCTGTCTGTGTGCCTTGGTATCCCCCTGCACCCCCTCACCAGCGCCCGGAGAAGATGCTTGAGCGGCTGCAGCTCACTGAGAGATGGCTGCGCAGGGAGGTGAGGTGGCAGGGGAGAGGAATGGTGGTTGTAAGGACAGCTCCGGGATTGCCCTGTGCTGCTGTTTGCCCTGTGCTGCTGTTTGCCCCTTGCTGTTTTTCGTCTCACTTCATTGCTCCATCCCCTCGTCACTGCTCGTCATATCACCAGCTTTGACTATTTCATTTACCTCAACGCTCTTACCAGCTGATCTTTTATTCCCACTGTTCTCTTGTTGCCCAAGTCGCTCCCCTCCCCACTTGTGCTCTGGTCGTCCCTCCCTTGGCAGATCACCAACTTCGACTACCTCATGCAGCTCAACACCCTGGCTGGCCGCACATTCAACGATGTCACCCAGGTAAGTCCAACCAAGGACGTGATTCAGCCCAATGTGCCATTTCGATGGACTGGTTCACATTTCCAACCTTGCTGTGGTTTGCAGCACATTCCATTCCTTGTGTTCCTTCCCGTTAAAAACATCTCCTCATACCATGCTATTTCCTCCCACCCTCTCCTCCCTTCCCTTCCTCCCCTTCTCACCACACCCTTCGTCTCTCTGCCAGTACCCCGTGTTCCCCTGGGTAATTCAGGACTATACCTCAAAGGAGCTCGACCTCACGAACCCAGCCACCTTCAGAGACCTCTCCAAGGTGCCTCTTCCTTTCTCCTCCAAATACCTTCTATTTTACTTCATTCACGTACATATCTAAATGCCTTCACTATTCATTCTCTTCTTCTGGCACCGCTCTCTTTCAAACTCCTCCTCATGTTCTTGCACCTTGCCTTTTCATCAAGTTTTCACACATCCCCGGCACACCTCTCCGCGCTCCCCTCCCTTGCGCCTGCAGCCGGTGGGGGCGCTGGATGCAGAGCGGTTGGAGAAGTTTGTGGAGCGGTACCACAGCTTTGCAGACCCCGTGATCCCCAAGTTCCACTACGGCTCGCACTACTCCAGCGCCGGCATTGTCAGTCCAGCCTCACTCTCTTCACACACAACACAATAACCTCTGCTCTGCTCACGCCCGCTCACCTCACACCGCCATGCTGCACTGCACTTCAAAGTCCCTCAAATATCGTAACCCTTGCACTCACCCTCGCTCTTCCACCCCTTTCCCCTCCACTCCCCACCTTCTCCCCCCAGGTGGCGCACTATTTGCTGCGGGTGGAGCCGTACACGTCGCTGGCGCTGGCCCTGCAGGGCGGCCAGTTTGACCATCCTGACCGCCTCTTCCTGGACGTGGCTGCCACGTGGCGGGGCGTCACCTCCGACATGAGCGATGTCAAGGAGCTGGTAAGCCATGTGAAGGAGCTGGTGAGCCATGTCAAGGAGCTGGTGAGGGCAGGGGGTGGGTAACAACGGGCCATGTAGCAGGGCTGCCTGTAGCAGGGCTGCCTGTAGCAGGGCTGCCTGTAGCAGGGCTGCCTGTAGCAGGGCTGCCTGTAGCAGGGCTGCCTGTAGCAGGGCTGCCTGTAGCAGGGCTGCCCGTAGCAGGGCTGCCCGTAGCAGGGCTGCCCGTAGCAGGGCTGCCCGTAGCAGGGCTGCCCGTAGCAGGGCTGCCCGTAGCAGGGCTGCCCGTAGCAGGGCTGCCCGTAGCAGGGCTGCCCGTAGCAGGGCTGCCCGTAGCAGGGCTGCCCGTAGCAGGGCTGCCCGTAGCAGGGCTGCCCGTAGCAGGGCTGCCCGTAGCAGGGCTGCCCGTAGCAGGGCTGCCCGTAGCAGGGCTGCCCGTAGCAGGGCTGCCTGTAGCAGGGCTGCCTGTAGCAGGGCATCCTAGTCATCTTGCGTGTGTGTGTGGACAGTGCTCTCGATCCTCTAATTGTTCTACCGTTGCGCTGTGTGATGCCATGCCAGCACACATCACCTCACCTCATCCCAACCCCCACTTACTCCCTCCCCTCTGTTCGCCGCGGTGCGGTGCGGTGCGGGCAGATCCCGGAGTGGTTCTGTCTACCGGAGATGTTCACCAACATCAACGGGTTGCACCTCGGCTCCACCCAGAAGGGAGAGGTCATCGGTGAGCTCACATCCCATCCCATCCAATGCGCACCTCACCTCTCATATTCCTTCACACCTGCCTCTTTTTTTTCTTTTTTTTGGTGGTGGTTGGTTACTTCTGTTGTTTCCACACCACCTCCCTCCTCCTCCCCTCCCCTCGCACCCCAACCTTCCGTCACCTCCCCTGCCCCCCCCCCCCACCTCCTTCCCCCCTGTCACCATGGTGCGGCACTGCACGGCACCAGGGGACGTGAAGCTGCCGCCATGGGCGGGCAGTGCGGCGGACTTTGTGCGCAAGCAGCGGGCGGCACTGGAGAGCGAGTATGTCAGCAGCAACCTGCACCATTGGATCGACCTCATCTTCGGGTACGTGCACCGTTGGATCGACCTCGTGTCACTTTACCCGTGAAGTCTTCCCTGCCTTTCATGTTCAGCACATTTTGCCCGCCCCTCCCCTCCACAATCGGGTCATGCCTCTCATGCGGGTTACTCCTTTCTTCCCTTTTTGACTCGCAACCTGCTGCCCTGTGGGGTGGGTTGCCCCTCCTGCGTCTCCTCCCCCACACCACACCACGCGGCAGGTACAAGCAGAAGGGCAAGGAGGCGCTGGCAGCACACAACGTGTTCTTCTACGTCACCTACGAGGGCGCTGTTGACATCGACTCCATCACCAACCCCGTCAGCCTCACCCTCCTCTCCTCGCTAACGCTCTCTTGCTCTCTGCCCACCCACCGAGCCATCATGTCCCCACCAGCCATTTACCAGCCGTCGTGCACTCACCCACTCAGCACCGTGCCATTCCAGCATGCTACCACCTGCCATGGCAGCTTTTCCTTCTCCTCTGCCCTCCGCAACCACGCTCTTGCTCAACCATTCACGATTCTTGCCCACCCTCCCTCACCTCCCGTCATCTCCTTCCTCCCACCAATCTCCCTCCAGATCGTGAGGAGGGGCATGCAGGATCAGATCTCCTACTTCGGCCAGACGCCCTCACAGCTGCTCACCACGCCGCACCCACCGCGCATCCCCCTGGACTACGCACTCCACCTGCACACGGTGTTCCGCAAGCCCGATGAGATCCTGCCCTACGTGCTGCCACACCCCGACACCCTCAACGTGCCCGCCAGCCGCATCGTTGCCACCTCAGATGCCATCGTCACCGTTGATCTCAATGCTCCCGCTTGCCACGTGGCGGTGCACCAGTGGCAGCCCAACACCCCGGACGGCCACGGCTGGCCGTTTTTGTTCCAGCCCGGGCGGTCTTCGCTGACAGGTAGTGCCATTCTGCGGATGCTGACGGGGGCGGCGCTGGGCGGCAAGGGCAGCAACAGTGAGACATCCCTCTATCCCCGCCTCGTCGCCCTGCCTGCTCCGGGGATAAAGCACACGTCAACAGCAGCAGGCGCGGCCGGAGGGGGAGGGGAAGGAGGGTCGGGCGGGGGAAAGGAGATCATAGCGATTTCCCCGGACGGCAAGTTTCTGTTCACAGGCGGGCACGCGGATTTCTCCGTGAAGCTGGTGTCAGTAGACTCCACTCGCGTGCTCGAGACCGCTGCTGTGCATGGCGGCCCCGTGACCTGCCTGGCTCTCTCCCCTGATGGCGCCACTCTCGCCACGGGCGCCACGGACGGGGTGGTGCTGCTGTGGCGAGTCAACCACGCCTCCGCGCCCTTCCCTTCCTCCCCTGCCGCCGGGGTCACGGCTGGGCTCGTGGCTGCTGGGGCGGGGGCGGGGGGGCGTGTGGCAAGGCGCAGCAGCGCAGCACCCACGGGGCCACACGACCCTGCGCTGGCTGCAGCCGCTGCAGCGGTGTCGGCGAGCGAGGAGCGAGCAGGCAGCATGGCAGTAGGAGGAGCGGATTATCCCGAGCGCGGAGCCGGAGCCGGGGGTGGCATGTCGGACGCGGCACTGCTGCTGAGCGCAGCAGGGGGCATGGGCGGGGCGGGGGGACTGGAGGCACCGAGGAAGTGGAGGCGGATGGAAGGGCCCGTGCAGGTGCTGCGCGGCCACCTAGACACCATCCTCTGCTGCGCCGTGTCCTCGGATCTTGACCTCGTTGCCTCCTCCTCCCGCTCCCGCGGTGTGCTCCTCCATTCCCTCATGAAGGGCCGCTTCCTGCGCCAGCTGCCGGGGGTGGGGCCGGCGGACCTGCTGGCCATCTCCCCGGAAGGGGTGGTGGTGGTGTGGGAGCGGCGGCAGCGCGCGCTGCGGGCGTTCACGATGAACGGAGCGGCGGTGGCGGGGGTGAGGATATCGCAGGAGGACGGCGATGTGAGCAGCGTGCAGGTGTCAAGCAACGGGCTCTTTGTGGCCGTGGGGACGGACTGCAGCCGGTGGCGGCATGTGCGGGAGAAGGAACGGCAGAAGGAGAGGGAGCGCGCTGCTGTGATTGCCGGGGAGAAGGTGGGGCTGGGGAAGCCTGGGAGCTTTAAAGAGGATGAGGGGCGACGGAGGGATGGTGGGGGTGAGAAGGGCGAGGGAGGAGAGGAGTTGGAAGGGGAGAAAGGGGAGGCGGGCCGTGGGCATCGGGACGAGGGGGAAAGAGGAGGGGAGGAAGGCGAGGGGGGGAATTCAGGCAAGGAGAGGAGGGAGGGAGAGGGCGAGAGGAGGGAGGGCGGGGAGGTTGAGGGAGAGCGTGGAGGGGTGGCAGCAGGGGAGGGTGGTGTGCTGCCGGACTGGAGGAACACGGATGAAGGGGGTTCACGGAAGGAGCGCGGATCAGCGGTGTCACTTCTTGACCTCTTCTCCCTCAAAGTGCGCCTGACCTCCTCCTGGAGCTGCGCCTGCAGCCGTGCCGTGCCGTGCCGCTTCATCCCACCCTTCACCACCTGCATTCCAATGCCTTTCGCCCATGCCTGCCTCTACTCTCTCCCATCCCCCTAACAAGCCTTCTTAAACCTCTACTTTATACTGTATGCCCCATCCCATTACAAGCATCTTTTCTTAGCACCTGGCTCCATTCCCCCAATCCCTCTGCTGCGCGTGCCATCCGCCATACTAACAGGCGCTGTGTCGCTTCAAGCTGCCGGAGGGCACGGACGTGACAGCGCTGGCGCTCTCAGCGGACAACACCAACCTGCTCTGCTCCACCTCTGCTGACCTCGCCCCCGGCCAGCTCATCCTCTACAGCAACCCCCTGGTACGCCTCTACAGCAACCCCCTGGTACGCCTGTAGCAACTCATCCTCTACAGCAACCCCCTGGTACGCCTGTAGCAGCCACTCTGCACTGGCCTCTGACACATCAACACTGACAGCAGCTTCCTTGGTACCAGTACAGCTCAACAGTTCTGGTTGTTTACCCCTTACTCCCGTTTCCACTAACCCATCTCCTCCCCACCTCACTCCCATTCTCTGTCCCCCCAATTGCACCCTTGGCCTTCCCCACTCTCCCCCCTGCTCCCCTGGCAGCTGAGTGTGAAGATGGTGGATCAGATGCTGCGCCTCGGCTGGGAGGGCAGCGAGTTTGCCAGCATCTTCTGACCCTGCCTGTTGCTCTCATGCTGGCTTGTGACAATAGTATCGGCCTCGTCCTGGGCGTCACCTGAGTGTTGCCATACACTCACTCACATTTGCATTACTGTAGGCAGCAGTTGTCAAATGTTGTAGACTGTAGTGAGTTGTGCCATGTGGGGTACAATTGTTGGGGTAAGGTATTTGTACCCCAACTCATTCTAGTGACACCATTCCGCTGTTTACAATTCTGAGATGGAATCAGAGCAATCTCGCGTTCGTATCCCGGTGTATGCATATACAGGCCGTTGCCGTTGTGCCAAGTCCTGGGCCTCCCAATGTGGGAGGGTATCAGTAGGCCTGCACTGTGAGATTCCTGATTGATCCTGAGGGTTACCGGCGCGTTGACATGGGGGTTTATGTCAGAATGTTATTCTCTAGCCTGTAGTGGGGTGCTCTATAGCGAGTACAACCCATCTAGGGTTTGCTATATGTATCCTCATTGCTGCTAGTGAAAACCCTCTCTTTTGCCTAAACTTTCTCTTGCCTAGCTAGGGTTTTCCTAGATATGGCGCCTAGTTCTGCCTACTATTCTAACATGCTATCAGAGCGGTCACGCTCCTGGCCTGTGGGCCCACCTAACAGCTTCCGCTGCTGTTCTCTGTGTTGCGCGCCCCGTGGCGCGTGACGGATTTTTCTTCCTGCCACGCGCTCGTGCGCGCGGCGGTTTTCTGCTCGCCGTGCGCACGGAGCGCGCGGCGGTTTCCTGCCCGCCGTGCGCACCGGGGCGCGCGGCGGTTTCCCCCCGTCGGTTCCCTCCCGTCGCCTGCTGCAGCTCGCCCGTCGCCTGCGGCAGACCCCCCCGTCGCGGCCCCCCGCTGCCCCGTCGCGGCGCCCTGGAAAGCGCGCGCGACGCCTGCTGCCCCGTCGCGGCGCCCTGGGGAGCCGTGCGCGGCCCCCCCGCTCGTCGCGGCGCCCTGGGGGGCCATGCGCGGCCCCGCTGCCTCGTCGCGGCGCCCTGGGGAGCCGCGCGCGACCCCGCAGCCACATCGCGACGCCCTGGGGAGCCGCGCGCGACCCCCCGCTGCCCCGTCGCGGCGCCCTGGGAAGCCGCGCGCGCCCCGCCCGCTGCCCCGTCGCGTCGCCCTGGGGAGCCGCGCGCCCTCCCCCGAATCACCCCCGAATCGCCCCCGAATCGCCCCTTCCCCCCCCATTCTGCCTCTGTTAGGGTTTGGGGGTGGCGAGTGTGGGGGTGGCGCCTATGGGGGTGCTGGCTGTGTGCTCCGTCCCCTGCTCCTCCTCCTCCTCCGTCTCCCGCTGCTGCAGCTGCCGCTGAGGGGGGTGGGTGTGTGGGAGCCGAAGGAGTGGTGCTAGGGGGGTGACGTGGGAGTGGAGCTAGGGTTTCAGCAGGGGGTGTGTGAGAGGGGGGTGGGACGGTCGGGGGAGGTTGAGCGGAGGCTGCCGTCTTGTCGTCAGCATCACCTATAGTCCGGGGCGCTGTTCCGGTAGCCCAGTCGTAGCCAGCTGCGCCAGTCGCCCGTGGGTCCGTTGCTCATCTGCCGCACTTAGCTGCGGAGCCAGTTACTCCTGTAGTCCGGGGCGCTGTTCCGGTAGCCACTGTGCCAGTTTGACTCCTGTTGCCCGTGTGTCTGCAGCTTCAGCCGTCGCCTCTTATCTCCTCTCCTCCTACAGTCTCGCCTCCTCCTCCTCACTTGCCCTTTGTGAAAGCCTCTAGCTTTGCTTGCACTTGTGAACCTGCTCTATACCTGCTTGCTCATTGTACTGATTACACCCCACTTTGGCTATGGGGGTGTGTCAGAATGTTATTCTCTAGCTTGTAGTGGGGTGCTCTATAGCGAGTACAACCCATCTAGGGTTTGCTATATGTATCCTCATTGCTGCTAGTGAAAACCCTCTCTTTTGCCTAAACTTTCTCTTGCCTAGCTAGGGATTTTCTAGCTATGGCGCCTAGTTCTGCCTACTATTCTAACAGTTTATGGGTGCACGGACCCCCTACGCAAACAAGCCATTCTATCACAACCAGGCCCCTAGATTCGTTTTGAACCAGGCTGATCCATCAGCATTGGTACAGAACAAAACGCTGACGATCAGCATTACCTAGGAAAAAAACGCTGAAAATTCAGCGTTGGTATAATTTTCGTTGCTGATAATTCTGTGTATGGTTTTCTATTTAAGCAAAGGCACAAAATCAAAGTGTAATTTGCTTCATGGCGAGAGAAGCGGGTGAGCTAGGGGGGGGGGGGGGGGGGGGGGGGGGGGGGGGGAGCAGGGAGCGGACAAACGGGGTGGGCTGGGGGGAGTTAAGGGTGGAACACGGTGGGTTTGACAATAGTCCGTTTGACTGTGCAGCAGGTGGGCTGGGGGAGGGGCGAAGCAGGGAGGGGAGAAACTGGGTGGGCTGCGAGGACTTTCGGGTGGGTTTGACTTAGTCCGTTTTGTTGATTGTGTAGGTGGCTGTGGTACTTTGCTCTAGCTGGTTGTGGGCTAAGGGCTTGGGCAAAATATGATTGCTAGACTTGTTGTGGGCTGGAATTGATCCGCACCCAACAAGCACAAAAAAACCTTTGCTATTCACTACAACACCTTTGGAGTTCCTAGTTTGGCATTTTGGGTTGTTGGGGATTGTTGTAGGGCGAGGGTTGGGTTGGTAGGGTTTGACAAACTCGTCACTTTTCAGATCTGAACTCTTGCTTCAGCAATTTCTAGATCTAATCCATGGCTGCCAAGTAATTCCGCTAGGATATCCCGTCGCACTTAAATCGCGATAGCGATCGGCCTAGATCTTGGTTGAAGGCGTGCTTTACTATTCTGGAAATTAGAGATTAAGACCTTTCCAACGCGTACCTGCTCATATTTTTAGGTTACGTGAGCTGCACGCAATGGTTCGCCGAAGTCGGCAGACTTAATCTCTTGTTACGCTCTCCAGATTCGCGCGCTTTCCATCACGTTTGACTGTGGTGTGCCGCATGGGGATGATTTCAGCTTCGCGCCCGTGATTGGCGGTGAAACTGCTACATAGCGCCAGGACTGTGGAAATCATGCAGTCGTGGGTTTCAGTGTGCGCACCCGATACAGGGATGAGTGAACGCCCTACACTCATACTATAAGGCTGGAAAATCAGCCTAGGTACAAAAACAATTGCTGAAAAGTCAGCCTAGGTACACATAAAAAGACTTTGGAATCAGCCTAGGGTAAAAAAAAAAAAAAAAAAAAAAAAAAAAAAAACCTGATCTAACGCTGAAAACGCGTAATAAGGCTGTTATCTAGGGCCCTGATCACAACGGTCTAGTGATTGGGATTCTGACAGCAGTTTCCATGAGCAGTACGAATAAGGGGGTGAAGGTTGCATTTGTGGAGTTTCGGGATATCAGAATACGGAACGGGATGATGGCATTGAGATCAAATTGAGTACAAGTACTAACCCTGATTGAGTTGTACCCCTTATGGGCTACCCCACTACAGCCTACACAACATAAGCATTATAATGTTTTGACACACCCCCATAGGCAAAGTGGGGGAGAACAAGTGGTCACAAGACCAGTCAAGAAAAGCAAAGCAAGCTCAGGGTGGATCACGAAGTCACCACACAATCTGAGCACAAGCAAATGGCCACAAGGTCAGTTCACATGCAGAGTTATATAAAAGAGAACAAACAGTACAGTGATCATAACCTAGCAAGTGTAAGCATGCAGGTATATGTGTATATATATATATACATATATGTGTATATTTTTATCACAGTACCTGAAGATCAGGCTGAAGTGCCTTGGTGAATGTATCAGCAGTATTGGCCCATGTGGCCATGTAAGCAAGACGAAGCTGACCACGTTGCTGCAACTCTCGAGCAAGGAAGTAACGCAGAGCGATGTGCTTCGTTTTGTGCTCCAGTCTGTGCTCCTGCGAAAGGCAATTATGGCCTTGTTGTCTACGTATAGAACTGGAGGAGAACGAGGCCGCTCTCCCAAGTCGGTCAGCAAGTAGGTGAGCCAGCGTAACTCCTGTGCAGCCATGGCTCCTGCGTAGATCTCAGCCTCACAACTTGAGCTGAGAACAGAAGAAGAGCGGGTAGACCGCCAAGAAACAAAGCTAAAGCCAAGACTGAAAATGCAACCCTCTCACGACCGCTGCGTAGCCAGGTCGTCAACCCAAGGCGCGCCTGAGTGTCCAGTGAGGACAACTGAACTCCGTCCTCCAAGCACGAGCCCCATGCCCGATGTACTGCACAAGTAGCGCAACACCCTCTTAGCGGCCTCCCAGTGCTCTGGTCGGTGTCTCCCGGGCGCAACGTAGCGTGCCAGGATGTACGCAAGGTCAAGTCGAGTGCAGGTCATCAGGTACATGAGGCAGCTCACAAGCTCTAGATACGGGCCGCTCGGCTCTACGGACTCGTCCGAAGGTGGAGCTGAGAGCGAGTGACCGGTAGGCAGAGGAGTGGACTGTGGCGAGGAGAACCGGAAGCCGAAGCGCTGAAGTACCTGCTGCACCATGTGTGACTGAGTTAGGGTGATGGTGCGCCGTGCTCTGTCCTGGGTGATCTGCAAGCCAAGATAGCTGCGCAGCTCACCCAGATCAGTGCACGTGTGTCTCTTTTGCAGCTCCGACTTCACAAGGGCCAGTGCCTCAGTGTCAGCAGTGGCAAAAACCAAGTCGTCGATGTACACGAGGATGTAGAACGGCGGCAGCGAAGTGTCGGTGCGCAGAAACAGTGACGGGTCAGCAGTCGAAGGAGCAAACCCAAGAGCCGCAAGTGTCGTCCTCATTGTGCCGTGCCACTCACGAGGCTCTTGGCGGAGGCCGTAGACTAGCCGTCGCAAGCTCCACTGGGTACTCTGAGGAAAAGACTCACTAAAGCCAGGAGGACGGCGCAACCAGATCTCCTCGTGCAGGTTGCCCTGTAAGAAAGTTGTGCTGAAGTCAAGAGACTGAAGCTCGTAGTCACGCTGAGCGGCAACGTGCAGCAACACCCAAAGAGTGGTCATCTTTGGGGTAGGGGAGAAGGTCTGGAAGAA